CAGCTCCCTCCCAGCAGCTAAACGGCTGTTGAAAATTTTAAGAGGGAGGTTTCAGGGAAGCTCTCCCGACCTGCAAGTGCTTTGAAGTTCTGATTGGCCCTAATGGCTCCTGTGACAGGAGTGAAAAGTGAGCGTCGGAGGGGGTAAAGCAATTACATAAACTCCTTAAATAATTCAATTTCACTTCTTTGAGTATTCTGGTGCTACCTCATTGTCTGTTTCAGGGACAGCTTCCTATTAGGGAGCTGTCAGGCGAGCAGTGATGGCTTTCTTTGGCAGAAGGAGAAACCTTATTTTAAATAAAGCCTTTCTAAGTCAAATTGGTGTCTCCTGGAAAGCTCACAAAACTCAACTTTTAAAACTTCTAGCACAGTCCCTGAGAATTTCTTCGCAATGATCATGCACGCTAAATGTCTTTCCAGACTTGCCATGGTTCTCAAACTTGGAGAAAAACTGCTGCCTTTTTGTGCTTTTCCTGAGGGTGAATTATGAAGGGGTTTTTTTCGGTGAATAATGTGCTACAGAAGCACAAGTACCAAAAATAAAATTCAGTATCATGTCACTATTTATTTTTCTTCTTTGCCTTTCTCTCTAGATTTTCTTTAGATCCAACAAGAATAGGAGAGTGGATAATGCATATGCTTTGTAAAGTCCAAAATGTTGTGACAAACAAACTTACTTTTCTTTGCTCAAAACACGTTGCATCTTCATCTTTTGACCTAACTGAACAAACTACATGACTTAGAATAGATACTGTTCTAATGACTTGACTTCATACAAAACTCAAGAGTAATGGAATGTGTATATCGTGTCCTAAATTTCTCTAAGATCTTCTATTTAAAACAGTGTGGATTCTATTAAGATATTTACAAGGAAGAATGAAGCAAGTTAAAAGTTTGCTTTTTTTTTTTCCAGGTATCCATCATACTACAGTAGTGTGTTATTTGTGTTAGTTCTATTCAAATAGATCTTACCTCTAGAAATCATGTTTCGTTGGTGGCTTATACTATTTTACATATCCCACAGTACTAAAAACATCCGCAAAGGGCTGGCAGATATGACACAGGACTTACTGAAAACTTTCTGAAGTAGCGGCTGGAGGTCAGGCAGTTTTCTTAAACAGTGCTAGGTGCCTATGCCTGTGTCTGAAATCTGATCTGCTGTAGTGACAAATAAGTTTCAGTATCACTACATCTAAGCTGCAGAAATTTCCCTCCCAGCAGACGTTTGCTTACTTGAGCATCCCAGAGCTTTGCATATATCTAGTTCCAGTCTCCTTTGTACAGTTACCTTTAATTCTAAGTGTTTTCACACACCAGTAGAAAATTAGTATCGGCATCTTTTAGAGTGGGAAGGAAAATGTTTATAGAACTGTAAGGTATTGGCAAAGAAGCAGCAGCTCTGTGGGAAATTAACCTGATTTGGGTATTCCCACTCAATTGATTGTTACTGTCTGTTCACCTACAGTTCATCCAACAAGTGTGCTGAATTTATTCAACAATGCTATATCATCTGTATTATAAACGTCTAGCTGAGGTACTTAACCATCTGAAAAAGAAGATCCTGAGAATCTTCCAGTGGTTTTATATATCCTATGGTATCGTATGTCCCTTCTTTTATTTCAGTCATCTGATACTGCCTGCTTTATTCTCTCATCTCAGGCAAGTGATTTTATGTCTTAATTTTCAGGAAGGAGCAGATTCATCAACTGTATTCATCACTGTTAATAAACAGGGAAATTGATAGTGTTAAATTCTCTTCTGTAAAGGGAATAAAATGGCATGTGTAAAAAGAATATGTTGAGCTGATGGTTTTGGTACCTACACATTTGAACAAGAGGCCATAAACATTTGAAAACTGTAAGGGAGCTGCCATTCAAAGAGAAAACGTTAAGAAACTTCCTTGCTTATGGCATGGGTAATAGATTAAGACTTTTTTGTGAGGTTTCATTGCAATGTGTAAATTTAAGACAAAATCAAAAATAAATTTTATCTTAGTTGCGTTTGACTTCATGCCTTTGAAAGAGATGATATTGCTGCTGGAGAATAAATTTTTGTGTTAAATACTGAATATGTTTTCAGTAAAGTACAAATGGAATAGTTTAAAATATAGGAAAGCATATGTCTTAATACTGGAGCACAGAGTTTGATTTATTCTTTATCACGTTCTCTGACAATTACCTGCATCTCTAGACATGGGCAAAAAAGCACTGGAGAAAGAGCATGTTTGTGAAGATGTACTTGAATTACTGAAATTTGTGTACATAAGCAGCTAAGACTCAAGAAATTAAAAGATACCTTCAAGTTCTCTTCCTATGACTCAGCTTGTGCAGTTGGTAACAAGTTCTATATTTAAACATAAATAGCAAAGGTCCCGGCATAGTTACACAGCTTTAATGCAACTAAGACTCATATGTGTATTTTACAAATGTGAACTATGACCACTTGTGCAGCTATCCTAATCCTAGCAGTATTATTTCTGTTAAAGTTTTAAATATCCCCGATATAAAAAAATACCATATTCTCATTTTCTCATGATATGTGTCTCAAGCTCTTTATCCAGAGCTGAAAAACAATACTGCAGTTAGTGGTCTCAATGACGTTTTTGCTTTAAGTGACCTCATTTCTGGTCCACAAAACATTAAAAAAAATCAAATTTTCAAGGTTTAAGGCAGAAAATTAGTAACATGTTTACCACATAAATTAAATGATTACAAGTAAAGTGGAATCTTGTTTTTCAGAAGCACAATCTGAGCTTTAAGGTCTGGGCCATATTTCAGAATATAGAAGAGTTTTGGTATCTTTTGGTACTATAATGTTTGGCTGAGGCTAATTATATGATTATTTTTTGTTCCCTCCCTGCTTTGTAAGTGTCAGTTACAGTTGTCTGATACCAACTGTCCTGGTTTCGGCTGGGATAGAGTTAATTTCCTTCCTAGTAGCTGGTACAGCGCTGTGGTTTGGATTTAGGATGAGAACAATGTTGATAACACACCGATGTTTCAGTTGTTGCTAAGCAGTGCTTACACTAGCCAAGGACTTTTCAGCTTCCCATGCTCTACCGACTGAGAAGGCTGGAGGGGCACAAGAAGCTGGGAGGGGGCACAGCCAGGACAGCTGACCCAAACTGGCCAAAGGGA